TCATGGAAGAAAGGTCCCTGCTAATACGAATATAGCGGCGGTAAACGCCTGACTGCCTACGACCCATCTGTTGGATCTCATCGTCAGGAATTTCCGCCATTGCGGCTGCTGTGGCCGCACCAATCCGGAAGGAATGAGAAGTGTAACAGGTATCATGAATGCCAATGAAGCCAAGGGCCCGCCTTAAAACAGCGGTGAATTGAGAACGTGTAATTGGAGAACCATCAAAATGGGACAGGAAATTGCTGAAATGCTGAGGACACCTGCTGAGGAACTGTGTAATGGCCTGAACAGGGCACAGGGAGAGTTGCCCTCAGAAACAGCAGGTATTGAAATTACACAACCCTGACCGTACTGGTCGGTCTTGGAGAAACGAATGTTTAGATTAACCACAATGCCAGAAGAGATGAAGGGTATGATGAAGGGTAACATCAGAACGACGTAAAAGTGAAATACCAGATCGAGTGGACGCGGTGAGTTCGCCGACGCGCAGAAATCCAAAAAACGCTAACAGGAAAGCCACTTGAAACAGTAGGGCTTCATACTGATTGGTACAAACGGAGTGTAAAGCAGGAATAACACGCTGCAGTAAAACAATCGTAATAGGGCGGCGTTGATCGCGCCGCCCGTACCGGCGGCGGCAACCATCTAACATTCGTTTCACAATGAAATGTTTAGTTATGTCATGGGAACCCTGCAAGCGGAGTGTAGACGCAATCCCTGAGGCATACGATGCAACAGTAGCCGGAGTATACCCATTAACAGACAAAAATGCAATAAAATGCACAAGTTGCTGCAACGTGGGACTAGAAGATGTATTAAGAAAACCATGGCGGGAAATAAACCAACAGAAAAATTGCCAAGCACATTGGTAAACTGTATGGGTACGCGGGGCAACTGATTCCATCAAAAGACTGTGAACCTCTAAATTAAGTTGTTCCACAGGTCTGCAGGCAAGGGTGTCATAACGGGGGCGGCCTCGGGCACCAGCCGCCGGAAACGATCCATCTGAAAACGAGATAGAGCGTCAGCGATGCCATTATCAAGACCAGGTACATGGCGTGCCTTAAAGTGGATATTCAACCTCAAACAAAGCACTACAAACATGCGAACCAATTTCATAATTCTGGGACACCGTGATGTTTGGCTATTAATAATCGCCACCACAGCCCCATTATCACACCAAAATATGACACGCCGGTTTTGCAAGGCCGGGCCCCATAAGCGCAACGCGAGGGTGATCAGGAAAAGTTCGAGAAAAGTAATGGATAAAGTCAAGGAGCGCCATTGCAGTGGCCACATGCCTTGCATCCAACA